GCAGATGAGAAGCGGGACATCCGGGGAGTTCCATGCGACTGTTTCACAAATTGCATTATCCGGATACTTGCGCAGCTCACATCGATCACCCCAGAACTCACGAAAATGCGCCGCTTCTGCGGATTTAGCTGGTGGTCCACGAGTCAATGGACTGTTCCATTTTGGTGCAAGTCGAAGACCAAGTAACACTGAGACATCGTCTTCCGCTAGACATACGGCTGGTTTCTCATGCACATCCCACTGTAATTAATCGTAAAAAACATCGGAGTATCATCATCGCTGACAAAACTAACTTCCCTGAATCATGCGCATAGGCGGATCCGGGACGAAATTCTGAGAGGAGGGAGCGATGGGCGGTGAGGAGAAGAGTCCCCTCGCACCCTGGAACTATGCAGAAACTAGGAATACAGTTGCAGCACTGCTACTTGCCCTAGTTAGTTTAGGCTTCAGTTTACTTTAGTTTTAGCTTTAGAACCGGTCTTTTGTAACACTAGTGCCTGTGCCGATTGAGGGGAGGGAGTGCCCTCTGGATTCGCCTATGATAATATCAACAGCATAGTGACCCAACTATTCAACACCGACTGTCCTCGAACAATCAGTGTAGGTATTCCATGTTAATGATGTTATTTGGATGCTTTCGCACTCCGAGTTCACCTAAATCGTGCCCCTTTTTGATTCTATGCTGCATATCTCTAGTTAGTATCCACTACCTATTCGATGTATGTGCGCCACCTCTTCGCAGTTCTACTTGAGCAGTCGTTTACTTTGTCCTGGATACTGTCCCAATAATGTGTGGCGTTCATAGGCATCAGCACGGCCAGCAAAATTCCTTGCTTACTCTCTTGTATGGCTGCAATGAAATCCTGCACTCCAGTCCCATAACGGTAAATCAAGCCTCCCCACCCCAGGGGGCGTATACGGACCTCTGGACGCCCGAGGAGGTGGAGACCATTAAAAACCTGTGCTGCCAGTACGACCGGTTGATAAAATGGCAAGAAGTCGCTGCACGATACGAAGCCATTCACCGGCCCCGCAGTAAGGCACCCCTGCTCAAACAGTTACTAAAGGAAGCTCCAAACATCAATCCGCTTCACCGATTTTCTTGATTTTGCTACCAATCAATTTACGATACTGAAAAGCCAGCGTAAAAAAAAAGTCGTAGAGGGGCCCTTCGCAGACATATGGATTGTACACATTTTCGTCGCCGCATATTACAGATACTTAGTTCAATTCCATATAAAACTGATGTAGATTTTGGCAAAACAGCTGCAAAGAGAATTCCACTACAGTAACTTACCATTGGAGATTCTTGGCTGTTAGGTATGCAAAAATCAAAATCCATGATCCTTTCCGATAATGCCTCTTTCAGCAACGGAGTTAATTTACGCACAAATATACTCCTCCCATCATTACAGCTGCTTATGCAATCAGTGCTGTACATTTCTCGAAATACATCTTCCTGATATGTTCGAGGAAGGCTAATCCTGGAAAAGAATAGGTTCTTTTTTTTTCAACTTCTTCCCTCCCCTTCCCCACACGAAAAATTTAAACGCTAGCAAAATTATAGAATTACAGCTCCGAAAGTACCAGACTTCACAGGGCTTTTCATTCATTTCTGCATACATCTACTTCTTAATGTGCTCTGCCATCAATTCAAAGGTCCTCCGAATGATTATTTTCTTTCGCGAGTACTAATCTGTAACATGCAGTGTCCATCACTTGTCAAAAAATATACCACTTTTCTTGTCCATCAAATTTTACTCTTCTTTTTTTTTGAAAATATAATTCTTAACAGATAACTGATAAATGCCATGCATCAACAGCATAATTGTAATGCTTAGAACCATGCCAAGTATCTCCGTTAAGAAAAACACTGAGCTTGTAATAGAAAGGTATATGAACATGGAATGAAATAAGAAAAATAAAGAAGGTACGAAATGAGGATTAGAAAATTAGAAAATTTTTAAAATTGGTAAAGTTATTATAATTATCATAAAAAATTATTATAATAAATTATAATGATAAGAAATAGTGATCCTTTCAGGAAGCAAAACGAATGTCAGAACTGCCAGTGAATTGGACAAAAGACGTCGCACATTTGTCAAAAAAAAGTAAAATTTGCTAACTGTATGACTGGAAAACTAAACCATTGATTTACAGTCAACCTAAGTACTAAGCAAAATTCTTAAAAATATTGATAAATTTAGTGAAAATAAAGGCAAGTACCTAATATATTGATCAAAAGCATCTTCAAACGGATGATTTCTCACGAACAATGAATCAAATTCGTTGAAAAAATTGATCTTTGTTAGGGCATCAATAGATGCAGCACGGATTTGATCCAATGCAACCGTGCTCAAAGATGAGGCCAAATTATGATGTCCTGTATAATCGAGAAATACAAAATCGAAATGCGACAAAAATTGGGAATGCAGTGCATCATCGATTTTCTCGCATAAACTCAGCGGAGATTTCGTCCAATCTATTGAAACTGAAATACAAAAAAAGTATTTTTGAACGATAGATGGATTATCATTTTGTTGCTAATTTAAATGTTTTCTAGTCAGCTAGGCATCATCATCATCCTGGCAACATTCAAATAAAGTGCTGTGCTTAACAGAGTACAGTTTCCAGGTATGAAGAAGGTTACCTCAATCTCAAGCTAACCCAGACCCGAATCTTAACCCGTTGTAACGAGATACGCTGCAGTCAAAGGTTGTGAGTAAAGATTTAATTACAGCACTAATAAAATATAACAAACAATTGCAAAGGAAACAGCGGCGCAAGGAGAGACGCAGGGCGTGAATAAGAGGGCTGGCAAGGAGCAGAGGTCAACGATGCGAGCACGTTGCAAGCAGTGGCCGAAGAGTAATTGATACGGCGGCAGCGGTTGTGAACTGTGCACACGCTGTGCAATTGCGGAGGCGCACTGGTTGTCCCACAACCTTGCTCACAGTCCCTTACTAAATGTAACGCACACAACAACAAAGCAAAACATAGAGATCACTTTCTTACCTCCCGCCAGTGCGGGGGTCTTACATCACATAAAGTTCTGAAGCTCAATTCTCATGCCTTTGCTTATTCACCTATACAATTTTGACACATTTCATCTTCATTTCCATACAGAATTAGATTTCGCTATTACTATAAGGTAAGACTCATGAAACGTGCAAAAGCACTTACTAATTGAGCTGAAAAATGCTGTAATAACGTCGATGACTGGCGTCTGAGCTGCAAAACTGCCTTGTCTATGGAGGAATATAAACCAGGCCGCAAGTAACAAATCAGAGAAGCCATCGACTCTCTAAAAACAGCAAATAATGAAATTTTAATACAAATCCTTTCATTTACTCCGGTCCTTCTCATTTCATACATACTTCGTTGGTCACTTTGGTCCCTCTCACTAAATTTTCCTCCTCGTTTTCCCCTTGTTTACACCCTTTCCACAAGGCGTTTTAGGCATCAAATATGATGTAACAATAACCCAGAAAGTCCACTGATCCTCCGCCCCTTTCAGCCCCCCAAAAAAAATCTTAAAATCCCCGACAAAAAAATTCCAAGCCGATAATTAGATTTCACATAAATGCCACGCATCTTTATAAAAAAAACATATTAAAAATTATCAATATTAAGATATACCTGTGCAAAACCTCTTCGATACATCCAC